GGTAACCTCCTCTTGCCCTAATTTTTTTCTTTCACCCATTAGGGTTTGGAACTGAACCGTCGCCGCCACTTGGGCTACTGCTGGCGAACCCCATTTAGGGTTTCAATCTGAAAACCGCCGCCGTCGATACATCTCCGGCGAGCAGTTGGAGAAAGGCGACGAATCAAAACAAAAAACCCATTTTTCTTTCGATTCAATCATTCAGATCCAAGCTTAAAAATGGAATCAAACCAAAAAAGAATTGAACTTTACAGTTCATGAGTGCTATAGATCCCAAAATCCGAAAGAAAAAGCCAACAAAATCAAATCTTTTACTGTTCATCCGTGAACAGTTCTAAAAAACAGAGATTTAAGATCAAAAAACCCAATTTTTAGAAACTTAAACCCCTAAGAATTAATCACGGGTGACTCTGATACCACTTGTTGGACATAAACGTGATTAAATCATAGAGAATAAACATTAAGAGCTGAAGCTTATACCTGAATCCATAACTTAAATCTGAGTTAGGGTTTTGATGATCTTCTAATCTTAGGGTTACTCCCTTATGGATCTTTTTAGATGGGGATAAGAGAATGAGAGTGGCTAACCCTAGATTAGGGACCATAACCCCATATATGGATCTTTTTAGATGGGGATAAGAGAATGAGAGTGGCTAACCCTAGATTAGGGACCATAACCCCATATATATAGGTGTTGTACATTTGTAATTTGACCCCTCATCAAATTACAATTACAACCTGGTATCTGCACATATAATCCCATGATTTATTTAAATACTCATTAACCCAAATTAATTGATCACTTTAGTGGATTATCCTAAAGAATAGCAATACACACAGATTAATCATATGTGCCCACAAATAGATTTAATTAGATTTAAATCCAACAACAGGAGCAAACATATCTACCCAATGCTAGATAGTTTCAAAATTATCATACTGCTTCACTTGCCATGTCAACTATAACAAAGTCCACCAAATCAACAAAACAATTCAAGTTTTCCAGAGAAGTAACAAAGAGACAAAATAGCAACTAAGGAATCACGAAGAATGTCATTTCATCAACTAGTGGAAAATAAATAAATAAAGTAGACAGTGTATGTAATACAACATACCAATAGTAGGAATGGTAGTCACAATCTCTCCCAGCTTCAACTTGTACAGAATGGTGGTTTTACCCGCAGCATCGAGACCGACCATAAGAATCCTCATCTCTTTCTTGGCAAAAAGCCGGCTGAAGAGCTTGCTAAAAGACAGCCCCATCTTCACGTCTAAATAAAATAAACCAAATTATAGTCATCCAATGTGAGGGGTTATCATAATACTAAATGTATACTTGTAAATTATCCTATATATTGATATAGATCAACCTTCCAGTGTCCTTTTTTTTTGAGATATTGATATAGTTTTCACCTATGGTCAAACAGAGTACATACTGAATAAACCCACTTTAGCTACAAGGTCCAATTTTTATTATATGGTAACAACATGAATGTAGTCCTACTGAACTATACCATGTGAAATCAAGCAAACAAATAATTACCTTAACAGTAGGAAGCCTACAACTATTGACTGCATTAGAGATGATAATGATGGAAAAGGTAAGAAGCTCAATATCATATAAACACCATATAAAGCATCAAAAATCTGAGACCAAATTGTTAAAATATGGAAATATTTGCTCATTTTCAGCAGAATCAAGAACATCTATAAGCAATTTCACATAAAAATCCCAAAAAAAAACCCATCATGTCTCGAGAAGATCAGATCATAGATCCAGATCCATTTCTAGCAAATACACCAATTTGTGTGTTAGATCCATCAAATCAACAAGTATAATAACAATATTCTTGACCAATTCAACATATAACAACTCAACTCAAAAATGGATCAAATTCGATCAGATCAAGATGAACGCAACATTTTCAACCTCAATTTCACCAATTTCATGCTCAAATCGAAAAAAATAAGCCAGAGAAACAATAGATTGAGTAAAAATTACCGGAAAAAACACAAGATCTCAGATTGACGATCCGATTAGAGTCTTTGATGATCAGAAGAAAACTTAAACTAAATTAAACTCGATTAAAATTTTAGGAAAATAGAAACGCTTACGAGAGAGAAGAGAGGAGATTTTGAGGCGATGCGATCGAGTAGATTCAAGAGGAGCTGTCCACCACCAGATCCCAGATTATTAATGTTTGGCTAATTAGCAGTTAAATACCTTGTAGTTTTCCTATTTTGCACTTGTAAAACTTTATTTATTTTTGCAATATTTACCCTGAACTTTTGAATATGTAAATGTGGAAAATTTTCCAAGAGCATTCCCACATGTCATTTAAAAACTATTAACACTTAGCATTTGTTGAACTTATTCTTAAACTTATCCCAATTATATTTAAACATGCTCTAATTCTGTTTTAAAAATTAGATTGGAATCAGTTTGTTAGTGAATTCGGCAAACATTAACATAAAAATGTCACATGAAAATATTCATAAGGATAAACTCGTGTGTTTGCACAAAAGATGGCGCTAAAGTGTTAAATCTAAAATGCCATGGTGTACATGTGTTGCCAAAAAGAAGTAAGGCTATCTATGTGTAAAATAAGGTAAACAATAAGGTCTTAAGTACCAATAAGCCTTGATCTCTTGAGGTTTTAACTCTATACCCCCAGTTGTGTTTGCATATTTTCGCTCTAAATCAAGATTTTGGCATTTTTACAATATGAATATAAAATACAAACGGTGCTAAGCTATCTGAAAAATCTAGATAACTTTTATCACTAACTCGTATAGTATATTTTTTTTATTCTATGAAAGAGGAATCTAAATAAAAAAAAGATGTTAATGAGTATCATATGTCATATGAGGGGATTCCCTCATATATAATGATGTGGTACAATCTCCACCAAGTGAATAAAATAGGAGAGAAAATTTCTCATAATCATACTTAGTGAAGATTAAAAAGTAAGAGAGAGAATGCCTCGTAATCACATAATGCCACGTCATAGTTTATGAGGAAATCCCCTCATATACGACACCCATTAATCTCATAAAAAAAAAGTTCACTTTCTTTTCATCACTGACTCGATAAGTATTGGGTTCATATCTCTTTTAGAGTAGAGTTCACATTCATTGTGACAGTGTAAGTTGTTATTAAAAATTCAATATCAAATACCTTCATAAGAAATTTCTGATGATATTTTTTGGTACAGACCATGTTCTTTAATTGGATTTTGCCGCCAAATTTTGCGATGCGATCTTAGAAATTTCTGATGATGTTTTCTGATTTAGGTTGATTGACAGTGTTCTGTACTAAAAATCTGATTTTTAGTTTGAATTATTGTTAAAAAATACCAAACAATTATACTTTTCTTTGACAAGTTTTAAAAATTCCTCCCTTTTTTATTATTTTGAAGCTTGAGGGTGTGATTTGTAGTTTTTAAAACTTTGGGAGAGTTTTTTAAAAAAATCTTTTAAATTTGGTAGTTGTAACTTCTATGTTTCATGTATTGGTAGTAATTTTTTTAAATGACAGGATATTTCAAACAACTCTAAAATTTTGAGAGTGCTTTTTGCAGTTATTAAAACTATAGATTAATTTTAAAAAATAAATTTCAGCGGTCTACCAATAGTTTCCAGATTTGATGTGCAAGTAAAGAGCAATAATAAGAGGATAATTGGAAGAGTACATGTCAAGGTAGTAGGCCTGCATCAAAGAACAGGCAGTAAGTTGTACTCTTTGAATTTAGTGTATGAAGAGGCATATTCAGGATGTAGCCCCGTGTGGTATATTCTAATTTTTTGAAATGCAGGAGAAAAAGGGCCCCCCCCCCCAATTAATGGAACCACCCCTAACTTAAATTAGCAAGATAAGACCAGAACACATGAACTTTCTAGTGGAAATATGAAAATAAAAAGGTTTTTTTATGGAACCACCCCTAACTAAGGCTCTGTTTCGCATTACCGCCTTTAATTACTCAAGTTCCAGAAAACTACCCCTAACTACTAATCCGTTATCATAGAACCACCCATGCCCTTTTCCATCCAATTTTCATCAAAAAAGTTATGGTTTGACAGTTTTACCCTTACATAAGTTTAATTTTGTTGAAATTTAGGTCTCAATGTTAAATTTTGTCGGACTTTGGGTGTATCAAAAATAGATTTTGTTGAAAAATAGGGCAACAAACTTAAATTTTGTTGAACTTTGGGGTATCAATGTTAAATATTGTTGATCTTTGGGATAACTTTTGGGCAAAAAAAGAACTTTGGGGTATCAAAGTGAAAAATGAAGTAAGCTTTGGGGAATTTTTGGGCAAAGAAGAACTTTGAGGTCAAAGTTAAAACTGAAAATGATTTGGGTTATAAGTGAAAAATGAAGTCGACTTTGGCATATTTTTGAGCAAAGAATAACTTTGGGGCAACGTTAAATTGGGAAATAATTTGAGTTATTGAATTTTGATGCCCAACTTTCAACAAAACTAAACCTATGTGAGGGTAAAACTGTCAAACCGTAATTCTTTGGATGGAAAATTGGATGGAAAACGTCATGCGTGGTTCTATGATAAGACCTTATTGTTTACCTTATTTTACACATAGATAGCCTTACTTCTATTTGGCAATACATGTACACCATGGGATTTTAGATTTAACACTTTAGCGCCATCTTTTGTGCAAACACACGAGTTTAACCTTATGAATATTTTCATGTGACATTTTTATGTTAATGTTTGCCGAATTCACTAACAAACTGATTCCAATCTAATTTTTAAACAGAATTAGAGCATGTTTAAATATAATTGGGATAAGTTTAATAATAAGTTCAACAAATGCTAAGTGTTAATATTTTAAAATGACATGTGGGAATGCTCTTGGAAAATTTTCCACATTTACATATTCAAAAGTTCAGGGTAAATATTGCAAAAATAAATAAAGTTTTACAAGTGCAAAATAGGAAAACTACAAGGTATTTAAGTGCTAATTAGCAAAACATTAATAATCTGGGATCTGGTGGTGGACAGCTTCTCTTGGATCTACTCGATCGCATCGCCTCAAATCTCCTCTCTTCTCTCTCGTAAGCGTTTCTATTTTCCTAAAATTTTAATCGAGTTTAATTTAGTTTAAGTTTTCTTCTGATCATCAAAGACTCTAATCGGATCGTCAATCTGAGATCCTGTGTTTTTTCCGGTAATTTTTACTCAATCTATTGTTTCTCTGGCTTATTTTTTCGATTTGAGCATGAAATTGGTGAAATTGAGGTTGAAAATGTTGCGTTCATCTTGATCTGATCGAATTTGATCCATTTTTGAGTTGAGTTGTTATATGTTGAATTGGTCAAGAATATTGTTATTATACTTGTTGATTTGATGGATCTAACACACAAATTGGTGTATTTGCTAGAAATGGATCTGGATCTATGATCCGATCTTCTCGAGACGTGATGGTTTTTTTTTTTGGGATTTTTATGTGAAATTGCTTATAGATGTTCTTGATTCTGCTGAAAATGAGCAAATATTTCCATATTTAACAATTTGGTCTCAGATTTTTGATGCTTTATATGGTGTTTATATGATATTGAGCTTCTTACCTTTTCCATCATTATCATCTCTAATGCAGTCAATAGTTGTAGGTTTCCTACTTTTAAGGTAATCATTTGTTTGCTTGATTTCACATGGTATAGTTCAGTAGGATTACATTCATGTTGTTACCATATAGTAAAAATTGGACCTTGTAGCTAAAGTGGGTTTATTCAGTATATACTCTGTTTGGCCATAGGTGAAAACTATATCAATAGCTCGAAAAAAAAGGACACTGGAAGGTTGATCTATATCAATATATAGGATAATTTACTAGTATACATTTTGAATTATGATAACCCCTCACATTGGATGACTATAATTTGGTTTATTTTATTTAGACGTGAAGATGGGGCTGTCTTTCAGCAAGCTCTTCAGCCGGCTTTTTGCCAAGAAAGAGATGAGGATTCTTATGGTCGGTCTTGATGCTGCGGGTAAAACCACCATTCTCTACAAGTTGAAACTGGGAGAGATTGTGACTACCATTCCTACTATTGGTATGTTGTATTATGTACACTGTCTACTTTATTTATTTATTTTCCACTAGTTGATGAAATGACATTCTTCGTGATTCCTTAGTTGCTATTCTGTGTCTCTTTGTTACTTCTCTGGAAAACTTGAATTGTTTTGTTGATTTGGTGGACTTTGTTATAGTTGACATAGCAAGTGAAGCAGTATGATAATTTTGAAACTATCTAGCATTGGGTAGATATGTTTGTTCCTGTCTCTCTTTCAATTACTTTCTTACGGTTAAGTTGGTATTTCGATTATTTGGTTCAGGGTTTAATGTGGAGACTGTGGAATACAAGAACATCAGTTTCACTGTGTGGGATGTTGGTGGTCAGGACAAGGTATTTACTGATTATATATTGTTTATAAGAGTTGTAATGAGATTGCACTAATCATTTGTACATATGTTCATGCATCAGATCCGTCCCTTGTGGAGACACTACTTCCAGAACACGCAAGGCCTTATTTTTGTGGTTGACAGTAATGACCGAGATCGTGTTGTTGAGGCTAGAGATGAACTACACAGGATGCTTAATGAGGTAAGTTTCCAAATCAGACTGTAACTGTAGTGGTAGTCTGCGATTCTGCGAACTGGACAAGTCTGAGGATTAATCAAATTACTCAAAATTATAAATCCGGCATAAAGATGGGTGCGTGTGCGTTTGGAGTTCAGAGTCTTATTTACATTCTGGGTAAAGTTATGTCACAACTCTGGTGCATGGTGCCTGCTGAGACTCTTATTCTGCATCCCACAAAAAAACTGCTGTTTACCTTGCCATGCTCATTCTCTGTCAAAGTTCAGCTCATAATCTCTTGTCACTCAACCATCCGTGGACCATGGTTGACATGCTCATTCTCTGTCAAAGTTCAGCTCATAATCTCTTGTCACTCAACCATCCGTGGACCATGGTTGACTTCTGATTAGAGAACCAAAATAGAAACTGTAGTTCTCATCCTACTCTTCTTTATAAAAAAAAACAATAGCCCTTATCCCTAAATTTGTGTACAAGAACACATTTTCTCCATATAGATCTATTGAGAGAAGTCTTCTTTGTTAAACAACAACAATATATCTGTTTTTCTGCCCTTTTTGAGCTGTTGCGGAACAATATCCTAATCATTCCTTCAACTAAACTCTTGTCACTCTTCCTAGTTGGTGCAATCAGTGAACTTGCACTTGTGGGACTCTGCTGCATATACATGAACCATCACAAGCTATGTTCATCCATCAACATTTCCACTGCATTACTCTCTTATTTATTGGAACTTAAACTAAATGAGTATTTACATTCATAATACTCTAGAAGCACTTTCTGTTCAAAGTAATGAAAATGAGAAAGGATGTTGTCCTCCTTTCTCATGAATTCAAAGTAATGAAAATGACTATTCTTTGTTAGGTATTCATCGCAATTAATTTGAAGTATGCCTTAGGGTTTTTTCCAGGGAACCGCCCCTAACTTAGGTTCTATTTCATGTTACCATCCTTAATTACCTAAGTTTCAGAAAACCATCCTAACTACCATTCCGTTATCATAGAACCACGCATGCCGTTTTCCATCCAATTTTCCATCCAAAGAATTACGGTTTGACAGTTTTACCCTCACATAGGTTTAGTTTTGTTGAAAGTTGGGCATCAAAATTCAATAACTCAAATTATTTCCCAATTTAACGTTGCCCCAAAGTTATTCTTTGCTCAAAAATATGCCAAAGTCGACTTCATTTTTCACTTATAACCCAAATCATTTTCAGTTTTAACTTTGACCTCAAAGTTCTTCTTTGCCCAAAAATTCCCCAAAGCTTACTTCATTTTTCACTTTGATACCCCAAAGTTCTTTTTTTGCCCAAAAGTTATCCCAAAGATCAACAATATTTAACATTGATACCCCAAAGTTCAACAAAATTTAAGTTTGTTGCCCTATTTTTCAACAAAATCTATTTTTGATACACCCAAAGTCCGACAAAATTTAACATTGAGACCTAAATTTCAACAAAATTAAACTTATGTAAGGGTAAAACTGTCAAACCATAACTTTTTTGATGAAAATTGGATGGAAAAGGGCATGGGTGGTTCTATGATAACGGATTAGTAGTTAGGGGTAGTTTTCTGGAACTTGAGTAATTAAAGGCGGTAATGCGAAACAGAGCCTAAGTTAGGGGTGGTTCCATAAAAAAACCTTTTTATTTTCATATTTCCGCTAGAAAGTTCATGTGTTCTGGTCTTATCTTGCTAATTTAAGTTAGGGGTGGTTCCATTAATTGGGGGGGGGGGCCCTTTTTCTCCTGCATTTCAAAAAATTAGAATATACCACACGGGGCTACATCCTGAATATGCCTCTTCATACACTAAATTCAAAGAGTACAACTTACTGCCTGTTCTTTGATGCAGGCCTACTACCTTGACTTGTACTCTTCCAATTATCCTCTTATTATTGCTCTTTACTTGCACATCCTTGTGTTCTAGCAAGTTGCTTTAGAAGTGAAAGCATAAGATGTTTTCGAAAAGAGAACATAACAACTTGGTACCATATCATATATGCATCTTGACATAAAATTAAATAAATAGACACTGTCTTCTTACCATCAGAATCCAAGGATAAATTATTGCATGTTACAGGAGATGCTGTCTATTTCAAAAGTCCTGTTACAATTAATATCAGATATTCAGATATCTAATAGAAATCTCTACAAACCTGAATCCTATGCATTAATACTGCATTTTCCAGGTGAAATGATTGCCCTGTCAACGCAGCCACAATTAGTATCTATGTCCCTTTTTTTCTTGGGCTTCCACTGCTTTTAATACACAACATATTCTATGTGTACATTTTTTACCTCTCTATGGGTATACGAAGTCCTTGTCGATGGTAAAATTGAACGCTTGAGCAACAGCGTATTGCAGTATAATATTACTCAATGCTCTTTAAGTTATATGACCCATAAGCGTCTTGACTTAATGAGCCATTAAAATCTTGATACTCGATCTGTCAGCATTGATGTTAAGGTTTCAAGATTTAGGGGTCGTCATTTTAAACGGGCAAGTGAGAGAACTTTGCTATTTTTGGCAGGATGAGTTAAGAGATGCAGTGCTGCTCGTCTTTGCAAACAAACAAGATCTTCCTAATGCTATGAACGCAGCGGAAATCACTGACAAGCTTGGCCTGCATTCCCTTCGTCAACGCCACTGGTATTATTTCTTCTCAACTTCGTCACTTCTTCTACCTCTCAAGTGTTTTGTAATAGCTTAGATAATATTTCACTTTATTAGTAACGATGTGTATCCTAATGGATCCTCATTTTGTATTACTACAATATATTAATCGATCCATGTGATTCGCTCAGGTACATCCAGAGCACATGTGCCACATCTGGAGAAGGGCTGTATGAGGGATTGGACTGGCTGTCAAACAACATTGCTAACAAGGTTTGCTTCGACTCATCTGCTACTGTAGTCTTACATTCGTTGAGCCTCTGCTCATCTGCGAGTAGTTTTCGAATACTAATTATTGCCTTGTTTGCTTGTATTCATGCAGGCTTAGGTATTACTGGGCACGAGAGCTGAAAGTTACCAAAGATGTCGTCTTTTTTATAAATATATATATGGTCAGAGGGAGTTGTTCCCATGACCCATTACCTACCCTAGCTTTGTTGTCAATAGACCAGAATATTCTGGATAGTTGTGCTTCATATTTCAGGCTGCGATGTTTATTATTATTATTTTTATTTTTTCTTGTCAACTCTGTTTCTGGTGACTTACGTTTTGGCTGAATTTCGCATTCAGACGTCAGCACTTAAAAGCCGAACTTGATGGCTCAGTTTCTATTAGATTCTTTGTCACTGTCTTAATTGTGTGCTTTCGTCAAGTTTCTCGTTGCCGGTGTTTTGAGCGTTCATATATTAGATGCATGTATAGTCTGAGTTTGATTATTTTAGATAAATATAGAAAATACACCAGCTGTGCATATGCTGTGCGTGGCTGCTCGTCTTCTCGATTGATTGTGTTCGTATTTGATGATTTCGTTGGTGTGTTCGTGGGCGATCGATGGTTCCTATCTGCACAGCTCCTGATCGCTTCTAAACCCATCATAATGCTCATAATGCTTGATGAGAGCAGTTGTCTTCAACAACGTTTCTATTGTGGGGGCGCCATCTTTCAACTCGAAATTTTCTTTCCCTCACCAATTGTATACAACTGCGTCGTGGCCGCGACGATCAGACGGTTTTCCATTCCTAATTTTACATTAATGTAGTTAGCATACATGATCAGTAAATATCAGTTCTATACTCAACATGAAACTCTTCGAAGGACATCTTTTGTTGTTGTGGAATAAGCACACCAAGCCCTATTAACATACTAACAAGAGGTGAAAAAATGCTATTGTGAAGAGATTGATATTATTCATATTATTCATGCATATGCATACGAATGTTCCAAGAGAAAGAAAAAATGAATTTTCGGTTTCCCTCATCTTGCAATTGTTTCCGATTCACTAATTATTTGATCCGAGTAGAAAATCATACAAGGAGAAATGAGAATGTGATGCATGTACCATTATCAATTCTAAATCAGTGCAATCAATATACAATATCAGTGCAATCAATATCAATGCAATCAGGATATTGTAACAATGTAACCGTCAATAACCTACCAGCACAATCGAAACACAGTATTAATATCGTCAAAATACGCCATCAATGTACTCCTTTACCCCCCCCCCCCCCCCCCCCCTTAAAAAAAAAAGGGAAAAAAAAACTCTCTCGCCAAGACGCACAAGGCCCATATACAGAGGGGCTCCCCCCAAATTCAAAAGCCACCCTCCTCCCTCTCAAACCAATCCCCACACGCCCACGCACAAAAATGCTCCTCAAACGCACGCACAAGAATTTATCAGCAAAAATGGCAGAATTTGGGAATTCAGTAGAGATTGAGGAGGATAGAGATAGTGAGACGGAAAGAGAGCAGAGATTGCTATAAATGCGAAATTTGTAGCTCTCGCTATCACAGTGAATGCATTTGTAGAACCATGGCAAATTATCACAAAGCCACATAAATCTTTTGGATGAGACGGATCTGTACCTTGTTGTGTTCATCCTGGATATTGAAGATCAAGTCCATGATCCTATTGTGGAGGAGAACTTGGAAAAAGCAGTTTTTTGGTCATAAGTCGACTCATTCACAGGCATAAGTCGACTTATGGTAAGTCGACTTATGTTCGTGTCGTAAGTCGACTTACGATCTGCTCTGGATTGTTGATTTTGGGCTCTGGCAAGTCGACTTATCAGGTCTGATAAGTCGACTTATGATCTCTTCTCCAGTTATCGTTTTTCGCTCTGCCAAGTCGACTTATGCAGACTGATAAGTCGACTTACGACGGGTTTTTTGGAAAGTTCAGGTTCCTATTTGCAGCTTCGCCTTCGACACCCTCCTCTACATCCTCGCCCGCTCCCGCCGCTTCCCCGACTGCTTCCGCCTCCTACGCCACATGAAGCAGGCCGACCCCTCCCTCATCTCCCCCCGCACCCTCCAAATCGTCCTCGCCCGCGTCGCCAAGGTCTGCTCGCTGCCGCAGACCGTGTCCGACTTCCGAAAATTCAGGAACCTCGCCGACCCCTTCGACACGTCCTGCTTCAACGCCCTCCTCCGGGCGCTCTGTCAGGAGAAGGGCATGGGTGACGCGCGGAGCGCGTACCATTCCCTGAAGCGCGAGTTCAAGCCGAACATAGCGACGTTTAACATACTGCTCTCCGGGTGGAAGGGCGTCGAGGACGCCGAAGGGTTTTTCGGGGAGATGCTGGAGCTGAGGGTGAAGCCGGATTTAGTCACGTACAACTGCCTGATAGACGTGTACTGTAAGAACAGGGAGATAGAGAAAGCGCGCGGGGTGTTCGACAGAATGCGCGGGGAGGAGATTTGGCCCGATTTGATTAGCTACACCAGTTTAATCGGCGGGCTCGGGCTTATCGGGCAACCCGACAAAGCTAGGGACGTTTTAAGCGAGATGAGGGAGGTGGGGTGCTTGCCTGACGTCGCGGCGTACAACGCCGCGATCCGGAATTATTGCATCGCTAAGAGGTTGCGCGACGCGTTCAAGCTGATGGAGGAAATGGGTTTGAGAGGACTGAGTCCCAACGCGACGAGCTATAATTTGTTTTTCAGGGTTTATTACTGGGCGAACGACTTCAGAAGTGCGTGGTGGTTGTATAAGAGGATGATGGCCGATGGGTGTTTGCCTAATGTGCAGTCGTGCATGTTTATAGTGAGGTTGGCGAGGAGGAACGAGAGGGTTGATATGGGTTTGGAGCTTTGGGGAGATATGGTGGAGAAAGGGTTTGGGGCGCTTAGGTTGGTATCGGATGTTTTGTTCGACTTGTTGTGTGATTTGGGGAAGTTGGACGAGGCCGAGAAGTGTTTTATGGAGATGGTCGACAAAGGGCAGAAGCCGAGCAATGTTTCGTTCAAGAGGATTAGGGTTTTGATGGAGCTCGCGAACAGACACGAGTCGATTAAGAATTTATCGGCAAAAATGGCAGAATTTGGGAATTCAGTAGAGATTGAGGAGGATAGAGATAGTGAGACGGACAGAGAGTGAAGATTGCTATAAATGCGAAATTTGTAGCTCTCACTATCGCAGTGAATGCATTTGTAGAGCCATGGCAAATTGTCACGAAGCCATGCAAGTTTTTTGGATGAGATGGATCTGTACCTTGTTGTGTTCATCCTGGATATTGAAGATCAAGTCCATGACGATATCCTATTCCTGTCAAGAACTTGGAATGATTATCGAGGTTTGAGATATCGGTACCGCTGTAGTTATTTGGAAGTCTCCTATTTTGCGGTTCTTATCTCCTCATAAATCCAAGAAATCCAAAATGGCCAGCCTGGTGCACGAAGCTCCCGCCGTGTATGGTGTTCCGTTTTGAAAAAGAATAAATTTTCACTGTAGACCCAAACAGAATTTTAATTACCAAAATCGACCGAGTTTTTTTTTTTTACCAAAATCGACCCGTTTTATGCCACGTAGGCTTAATCCAATTTCCTAATTAGTCAGGGTTGCCAACCCCGACTGTTTAGGAGTTGTTAAACCCCGATTAGAAGCCTTAAAACCCGGTTTAACAACTCCTAAACAGTCGGGGTTGGCAACCCCGACTAATTAGGAAACTGGATTACGCCTACGTGGCATAAAACGGGTCGATTTTGGTAATTAAAAAAAAATCGGTCGATTTTGGTAATAAAAAATTGGTTTGGGTCTACAGTGAAAATTTGTTCTTTTGAAAAATTATTAGGTGCTCATTGAGTATCAAGCTGGCATACACCACAACAATGCAAGTAGGTCACGCGGCACAAATGACACGCAAATGTGAAGGTGATGAAATTAAATAAATTGTTTTGTAATATGAGACCTACTCCTGTTGGTCTAGTATATGTCACATGGTGCTCGTTGAGCAACAAAGAATTTCTCATTCTGGAGGGATCACACCACCTTTTGTCTACTGTACACAGCCCGTGAACTTTCAAAATTTTCGTTTGGTTAGCAGGAGAATGGAATGAAAAGTTTATTTTTCTCTGGCTCTCCCCTGTGAAAACACCTTTGTTTATTTTTCGAGAAAAGCGAGAAAATTGGAAAAGGAAATATGAACATGATCATGTTTGATTTTGCTTTAGACTGTTGGCAATCAGACTGTAGAGTACATAGAAGAAAAGATAAAAGGATAAGTTTATATTTTAAACATTATCATACAAATTATATAGACATTTCGTTGAGAAATAAACTAATCCAACCTGTATATATATTTGTTGATTATTTATAAACTACAACACATAATTCCCTTTACTGAAATCACATGCATTCTTAATGTTTTGAGAGCAAGTTGACATTATTACTCATTACTTCTATCCAAAACTTTATGCAAGTTGAATGCAGCTGTATCTCAAAATCTTTAAAAGCCTCATTCTTATCACTAATCACATTCAGTTACACTTGGAATATTTTCATTTAGCACAGTTCACCCCAAAAAAAAAAACTCCGAGCAACATACAGCCAGAACATACACGACACATCCATGCAATACACCATCATATTAATTCGATACAACCTCAAAATAGAGTGAATCTCTGAGTCTCCAAATAACACATCAAGAAACACTTCATTCAAGCTTCCATACAAATCACCATAACGGATGCATCCTATAATATGCTCATAAAGCAACACAAGCCAAAGGTAACAAAGAAAATGGCTCCTCTTCTACTTTTTATCAGGCAGGTGTAGGTTTGTAGTCGATGACGATGACTTTCTCCAATGCAGGGAGGAAGTTGTTCGAAAATTCCACGTGCACTGGATGTGAAACGTACTCTGCAATCCCTTCAATGCTTTCAAAGGTTGATTCGAAGACATGAGTGAAACCTTGATGCATGTTCTCTATGCTCACATCCTTTCCCCTGCGTGCATAAACACAAGGTAAGATTACTATGTAAACTAAATAGGGCAAATTCTGCTGTAAAATTCTGCCAGTTGCGTTTAGAATTTAAGAGTCCGCAAACACAAATAACAAAAGAGAATTAAGCAATTCATAGCCGAGAATAGTTAATAGTTTTCGGGTTTAAGCTCAAGTATATTACCATATTGAAAATGATTAGAAATGATAATGAATTTAAGGGGCTGTTTGTTTGGCCCTTGGTTGGTTTCCTAAAAACCAAGAAAAGGATTTCCATGTACTTTTTGTATTAAAATATTATTATAATCTATTTCCATCCCTAAAACTCATCCCAATAAAAAAAATATATACACTTTTATCAATAAAATATTATTTTTATCCACCAACTCATCACATCTCATATCCTTTCTTACTTTTAAAAATAAACCAAACGCAAGAAATGAGTCACATCATCCAACTCATCTCCTCTCATATTTAAAAATCACTCACATCATCCAATAATATGGTGACAACTCATCTCATCTCATTAACATTTCATTTCCACCCATTTCCTCAAAAAAAGGAAATTGATTTCCTTAAGTGTGGGTCACATCATCCAATAATATACAAACAACTCATCTCATCTCATCTATTTTCTTATTTTTAAGAATGAACCAAACACAAGAAAGAAATTATTATAGGAAATAGGTTTCTTATAATACATTTCCTTATTTTTTTAACCAACCAAACAACCTCAAAACAATTTTTCTTAAAAAACCACTCACATCATCCAATAATATGATGACAACTCATCTTATCTCATCTCTTATTCTTTGATTTCCTTCTTTTTTTAACCAACCAAACAACCATAATACAAGAAATCCTATTCTTTGATTTCCTAGTTTTTTTTGCGAAACGAACAGCCCCTAAATAGAAATTTGGGGTCGATGCTTAATAATTTAATTTTATTTGTCAGAGGTCCATACCTACTACTTAAGCCCTATCTAACTCCAAAGAGACCCAATAATTACCAGAGGAAAATGCAAATTTGCATGTCTAAAGATTAATTACAAGGAAAAATAATGAAAAGTGAGGATATGATCAACAGTAAGACATAATATGTACCCCTTTCCCAAAGTTTGTTACTTTACAAAAACAAGTTCAGTAACTCAGGAGAAGACTATTCCTCTAAATTTGGCTAAGTCAAGAGTTTCCACAAACCAAAATAGTCAGTGTTCTCTTTCGAACTGTACGAAGAAAATGCCTCGGTGATGATAAACATTTGTCACCTAATGAAACACAGATCACCACAATAGATGTGATCTTAAATGATATGATCAAAAGATGTGTAGCTCTGCTATTAAAAGTGTGAAGGCTACATTGTAACTCAAAGAGATGTCATAACTGCAAACGTATCTTTTTCCCTGAAATTATATATATATATATATAGAGAGAGAGAGAGAGAAACTTATGTCAACTTAAGTGAATCATCCATCAAAGTTTCTATCCATTGATAAAAAGTCTCTTCATATGATGCACAGATCTCTATGTATCATAAATAGATAGAAACTTTGGTGGATGGTCCACTTAAGTTGATATAAGTTTTTTTTTCTCTCTTTCTCTCTCTCTCTCTCTCTCTCTCTCTATATATATATATATATAATTTCAGGGAAAAAGATACGTTTGCAGTTATGACATCTCTTTGAGTTACAATGTAGCCTTCACACTTTTAATAGCAGAGCTGCACATCTTTTGATCATATCATTTAAGATCACATCTATTGTGGTGATCTGTGTTTCATTAGGTGACAAATGTTTATCATCACCGAGGCATTTTCTTCGTACAGTTCGAAAGAGAACACTGACTATTTTGGTTTGTGGAAACTCTTGACTTAGCCAAATTTAGAGGAATAGTCTTCTCCTGAGTTACTGAACTTGTTTTTGTAAAGTAACAAACTTTGGGAAAGGGGTACATATGAGAGAGAGAGAGAGAGAGAGAGAGAGAAATGGGTATGCTTGGTACCAAGCACAAAAAGTTATGCTTAATAGTGAGGTGGTATAATCCCCTCTACTCATTCAAATGGTTGCATATCCTCATGTACTCCTTAACCCATGTAAATGTGGTCCCCCATTTGAATGAGTGGAGGGAATATGCCACCTTACTACCAAGCGCGCTCTCTCTCTCTCTCACTCTCTCTCTCTCTCCATAAAAAAGTTTTTGTTTCATTTGATGCTAGAGGAGTTACATGAAATGCTGCAATTTGTTTGTAGTTGGAATGGTATGCAACTTCAACTACAACAGTAAAAAGCCACTTATTACTTTTTAGTACTATGCTTACATTCAAAAGTGTCAAAGGTCCCTTCAACTGCACGGAAACTTGAAATTGTAATTTTTGTACTCTAAAATGATCTGGCAGGTCGAGGGCCCTGTCGTGGGCTCTAAAATCCACCTTAAATTTGTGAGAAATAAGATTTGAGCCTCGGTTGCTACGAGTCCAAGTCAAAATATCCTGAAGTTTTGGTGAGGGCTGATGGTTATAATTCTATAATCCAAAACGTCATTGTAGGTTGAGCTCTCCTTTTAATGGCCGCAACTTGAACTCAAGTAACAGATCTAATTTTTTAAACCCGCATTAAACCCGTGGCTAGTGAGATTTGAATCTGGGTTGCTCTGGCACAATTTAAAGTAGCCTTCCACATTTCCACTACACCAAAATTTAAAGTATCCCTATTCCAGTCTTAATCACCAGCAACAACAACGGCGACACCAAAACGCATAAAGGGTTCGATCTAATTAATCCTAATCATTAGATTCACGATAAAACTTTTGATCATTAATCAAAAAAAAAAAAATCAAGAAAGAGGGAGAGAGAGAGAGAGAGAGAGATACCAGTGAAAAGCCTTCATGGGCTCGATGAGGGGGACGAGGGCAGCGTAGCCCCTGATCAGCTCCTCCGCCTTCTCCGGGCTGACGTCATCCTTGAACTTCGCCAGCAGCACGTGCTTCACCACACCCTGTTGTTGACCTCCTTCCATCCCCTCTCTCTCTCTGAACTTCGCCAGCAGCACGTGCTTCACCACACCCTGTTGTTGACCTCCTTCCATCCCCTCTCTCTCTCCTCTCCCTCTCCCCCTCTCTCTGTTCAGATCTTATGAAGAGTTTGGGATGTGGTCACCGGTAGGTGATGGTGACCGCATACGGAATTAGGCCGTGTGCGTATATGGGCCGCTCCTTCCGGCTGTGGGCTCTCGGATAGAAGAGCCCACATGAGGAGACACGTCAACCTGCAATGATGTGAAAAAGGGGTGATTTACACAAACCTACCTAGACTTTATCAATTATTCGTGGACACTTTTCTGAACTTGTTTTCGCTAGAATTTCATCGGTGTGACTGATGGCAATTGTTTTTAGAATATGACACTGATTTTTTTTATTACACTAGGTAGGATGCATATGCATTGCACGTCGTCAGTTATCTTGATTGTTCCTTTTAAATTTATTTTTCACGCAACTCGGCTACGAAATAGTTTATATTTTCGCATTTATTTTCAAAATCCAATTTCATAAAATTATGGATAGCTAGATGGTGGAATGGTTTGGAGCGCTTAGGTTGGTATCATATGTTTTGTTTGATTTGTTGCGTGATTTGGGGAAGTTGGATTAGGCCGAGAAGTGTTTTATGGAGATGGTCGACAAAGGGCAGAAGCCGAGCAATGTACCGTTTAAGAGGATTAGGGTTTTGATGGAGCCCGCGAACAGACACGACTCTATTAAGAATTTATCGGGAATAATGGCATAATTTGAGAATTCAGTAGAGAATTAGAAGGATAGAGAAAGTGAGACGGAAAGAGAGCAAATAATTTAGGAATTCATCTTGGTGCTCGTTGAGTATCAAGATGGTATACGCCACAACCATACAACTAGGCCATGCGGCATAAACCACATACAAATGTGAAGACAATAAAATTAAACAAATTTTTTTCGTGCTATAAGACCTACTCCTCTTAGCCACATGGTGTTCATGGAGCACCTAAGAATTTCTCAGGGGTCAGACCGCAAACTTTTTAATTCTTAAAAATTTTTTTTTGTTCGGTTAGCAGGAGAAAGGAATGAAAAGTTTACTTTTTCTGGTTCCCCCTCTAAAACACCTTTGTTTGTTTTTCGAGAAAAGCGAGAAAATTGGAAGGATTTGTGAACATTATTATGTTTGATTTTGCTTCAAACCTGCTGGCAGTCACACTGTAGAGTACATAAAAGAAAAGATAAAAGGATAGGCTATATTTTAAACATCACCATACAAATTATACAGACATTTCGTTGAGAATTAAACTAATCCAACCTGTATATATTTATTAATTATTTATAAAGTATTACGCATTATTCCCTTTGATGAATCACCTGCATTGTTATCGTTTGGAGATCAATTTGACATTATTACTCGTTACTTTTATCTAAAACTTTATGCAAGTTGAACGCAGCTGTATCTCAAAATCTTTAAAAGGCTCATTCTTATCACTTATCGCATTCAATTACACTTTGAATATTTTCATTTAGCACAGTTCACCTAAAAAAAAGCTTCGAGCAACATACAGCCAGAAAACAGACGACGCATCCAAGCAACACAACATCATATTAATTCAAAGCAATAGGGGATCCAACCACAAAATAGAGTGAATCTCTGAGTCTCCAAATAATACATCAAGAAACACTTGCATTCAAGCTTCCTTACAAATCACCATAACAGATACATCCTACAATATGCTCATAAAGAAACACAAGCCAAAGGTAGCAAAGGAAATGGCTTCTCTCTTCTGCTTCTTTTTATCAGGCAGGTGTAGGTTTGTAGTCGATGACGATGACTTTCTCCAGTGCAGGGAGGAAGTTGCTCGAAAATTCCACGTGCACTGGATGTGAAACGTACTCTGCAATCCCTTCAACGTTTTCAAATGTTGATTCGAAGACATGAGTGAAACCTTGATGCTTGTTCTGTATACTCACATCCTTTCCCCTGTGTTCAGAAACAAAGGGCAATATTACTATGTAAATTGAATAGGGCAAATTCTGCTGTAAAATTCTGCCAGTTACCTTCAGAATCTAAGAGTCGGCAAACACAAATATCAGAAGAGAATTAAGCAATTCATAGCTGAGAATAGTTAATAGTTTGGGAGTTTATGCTCAAGTATATTACCATATTGAAAATGATTAGAAATGATAATGACTTTAAATAGAAATTTGGGGTTGATGCTTAATAAATTAATTTTATTTGTCAGCGATGTCCATATCTACTCCTTAAGCCCTATATAACTCCAAAGAGACCCAATAATTGTGAGAGGAAAATGCAAATTTGCATGTCTAAAGATTGATTACAAAGCAAAATAATGAAAAGTGAGGACATGATCAACAGTAAGACATAATATGTACCCCTTTCCCAAAGTTTGTTACTTCACAAAAACAAGTTCAGTGACTCAGGAGAAGACTATTCCTCTAAAGTTGGCTAAAGTCAAGAGTTTCCACAAGCCAAATTAGTCGGTGTTTTTGTACGCAAGTAAAATTGCCTTTATTCCTAACAAAGGAAGCTTTCGGTCAATATATGGACATATACGAGTTATGCAATAGGACACAAAGCAAGGAAGCTCAAAAGTTCGCCTGAACATTCAAGTTCGCATGAACAAAGTCAAGTTCGCCTGAATACTTGACTCCGCCGACAAAGCCAAGTTAGCTTGTTCGCTTGAATAACTCATGCAGATTCAAGTTCGCCTGAACTGATCAAGCTTCGCTATGATGACTCGTGCAAAGTTAAGTTCGCCCGAACACTTAGCTTCGCCTACAAGGTTCGCCTGCGTGCTCTAACCCACATGCAAGCTTGCCAACAAGCTTGCCAAGCTCGTCTAAACATTCAAGTCCGCCTGCAATGTCAAGTCCGCCTGCACTGCTTGACCAAGTCAGTCACTAAGGCTTTAAAATGTGGAAGTGGTTGTGCCCACTTCCAACGTTCCTAGGAGATGGTTACACACCATTCTCCTATATAAATAGCCACTAATAGCTACCAAAACGCGGGCGGGAGGGGGAGGGGGGGCTAGCATTGAGAGAATTGTGCATTCGGCCTTCAAGCATCCTAACTCGGGCACTCGAACTCCGACAAAACTTCTACCACGCGAGGAAGTTTGTTCACAATCTTATTCGAATCGTCAACGGGAAGCAAACTCAACTCAAGCTTCGAGTGAGGCATCCTTTTGCCCCCAAAGACCCCACGTTAAACAAAAGAGAGATCAGATTTATTCTCTCTTCTTTTGTGTAAAAGAAACTTCTAATTTGTAATACACAATTCAATCAATACAAATTCAAAATCATCTTTTACGACCTACAAAAGATGGCGACCACAGTGGGAGAGACCATTCTGTCAGATGAATTGGTGGTGGGACAGTTCGACGAGGTTGCTGCAGGAACTATCGTTGAGTCCCTTATCATTGAGTTCGATCAAGCCAAGTATGAAGAATATTTATCTTCTACTTCCTCTGGTGGCAAAACGTCACGCAAGTGTCGCAAAATCTTACGTGTAACTCAGCCCCAACAAGCTAAGGCTATCATGCCTGAGAGCTCTACCCAAGCAATCACTGGGGGTTCCAACACCCCCCCCCCANGAAGACTGTTGATGCAGGCCAAAAGGCCAAAGATGCAAACCGCGAAGTCACTCGTTAGGTTGTTAAGCAATCCACACAAACTCTTGTCTCCGAGGAGATCAAAGTTTATGTTGGCGTAGATTATGCCTTCATCGTCGACGCGAACACTCCTCTCTCAAAGAGGGCCAGGCAGAGGCGACGACAAGCCCGCGCTCTCCATGAAGCACGTGCTCTGATGTTTTTTGATGGCCGAAATTATAATTCAGGCCTGATAAACAATTCTAGTTCCAAGAACAAAGGCAAAGTTCCCAGTTCTGGTAAACTGCACAGTTCAGGCGGACCTCGTATTGCTGGCGAAGGTCACCAATCAGGCGGACTTCCTCAGTAAAGCGAGCTTTGTCAATCAGGCGGACATCCCTAGTCAAGCGAACTTCGTCAATCAGGTGGATTTAAGTCGACTGGCAAACTGAGCTTTGCCAGAAAGGTAAAGAGGTTGAAGTTTACCCGATAGGCACGTTTCGCCAGCGTGAGCAAACTGAATGCCTGCAAGCTCGCCAAACTAGCGAACCTCGCTAGGAAGAACAGAGAGCTGAACTTCACCAAGTCTGCTAGCCTAGGCAACTTCGCCTGCCTAGGCAACTTCGCCAGAATCTAACACTTATAGAGATTTTTTCAAGTGCTCTCTTAAACTCTCTTCTCACAATTACTCATAGCTAGTCCATCTGACACTGGGGGTTGTAAACATCGACCCGCGGGGGATCTCAGAGAACATTTGACGCGCAAACGCAGTATTCATGACGTAACACCTCAATGCCACTGTGAGAGGCTGATCACAGCAGCACTCGCTAGGTGTCAGTGTGGTGAATTGTCAAAACCATAAATATTTGAGACTCTCTGAGCGACTAGTAGAAACAAGACGTCCTCGCCGAAGGCGCAACCACATGAGGAAACAAGCTCTCGATGATTTGGATCTCCTAGCTGCAACTGTCAATATGACGGGGAAGTCCAAGGCAAAGAATTCGGACTCTTCTGACACTGACTTTTTGCCGGCCTCTTCGTTGAACCTGAGGGTGTTTACCAGCATACTCGGATTTAAAAAGGGACTGTCATACCGCTAGATTACAGGCGATTAGCATCTATTTCTGATGACGATGATGATGATTGCTCGGCGGTAGCTACGTCTCAGGCGTCAAGCTCGATTCAGGACGGGCGTGCAAAGGTGCACATACTAAGGTTTCTGATAATATAGCCAAAAAGCTGGAAGAGCACCAAGCTGCAATTACCATGCAGCAAAGGACAATCAACGCCATAAAGGACATAGTAGAAAAACTTCTGGACAAAAAGAAGAAAAAGAGAACATCGCGAGCTCCCTGAAATCTTTAACCAATAATAAAGAGCGGAAACCTACTCTTCCTCAAACAACAGAAGGGGAAAAGAATCCTGAGTCGCCCTCTGATTCATCATCTGAGTCTTTAGAAGAGACATCACAATCTGGCAACAATCCACGAGCTAAAAGGCTTGACGAGTTCCAAAGCCAACTCGACGCTTGAAACTCCAGAAAAATATGAATGAACTGGGGGTTGTCAGGTCATATCCGGTTGAATGGGATACAGACTCCTACCCGACAAAGTTTAAACCCATGAACCTAGTCCAGTTCGATAGTAAGGGTTCTTCCTCGCAACATATTTACTATTTCCTAGCTCAAACAAAATTTCTTACGGGGAACGATCCTATCCTAACCCGACTGTTCATCAGAACCCTAAAAGGGGTAGCCTTTGAATGGTTCCGCAAACTAGAATCAGGCTCCATTAAATCTTGGGCTGACATGGAGAAGTTATTCTTGGCCCGCTTCTTAGATGACGACACGGAGGTGTCAATGTCCACTCTGTTAGCTGAAAAACAGAGAAGGGGAGTCCGTTAACGACTTCGTGAAGAGATTTGGAAATCGGTCATTGTATTGCCAAGATCAAGTATCTGAAAGTACATTGATCAAAATGTGCTGCAACAATCTCTTAATCCATATTTTATCTAAGATCGGAGCGGTAGACACCTGAGCTTGGAAGGAGCTTGCTCGCCAAGATGAACAGGTAGAAAACATGCTCAAGAGATTGGAGGATGAAGAACCTCAACCTAAAGAGGACTTCCGGAACAAAATTCGTCTAGGCATCCTTTTCGATCAAAGGGTAAGGAGACCATAGCTGTCGAGACTACTCCAGCCTCTAAGCCCGCCTAGAAGCAAAAAGCTACCTCTTCTGAACCACGTTTTTAGAAGCAGTATGACTTCTGAGAAGATCAAGTTGTTGCTATTTTCAATATCCTATTCAAAAGCAACAAGATAAAGCCGCCAGAGGTAAAAAGACCCGAGGATGCGGATAAAACAGATGATCCCGACTATTGTGCTTACCATAGGATGGTTCATCATCCTACCTCTAAATGTTATATCCTAAAGGATAAAATTCAGGCCCTTTATGAAGCGGGGGTCCTAAAGAATAAAACGACACATAAGAAAGTGACTATAAATATGGTCAATCTGAAGTTCGGAAAAGACCTCCCAAAAGTCCTTACGCCATCGGGAGTTGTGCTCATCCCCAAGGCAAAATTGAGGATCGTCAACACTGACCCTCACTATCAGCGAGAGAAAGGTTTGGTACCGCAGACTATGTCGTCAGGACAAACAATGTGGATCCATCCCGATCTACTCAAAGACGAACATTGGACTTCTAAACCCTCAAAGAAGTCTAAAGGAAAGGCGAAGCTCAGTAACGTTATGTCTGTAATCCCGAACGACGACAAGGCGGAAGCGACTACCCTCACTGATTCTAATAACGAGAAGACCATACTAGCCACCACGGCAGGGAAAGACTTCGCTAAATAATACCCTCCAATGGCGAAAAATCCTTCAAAGTCACCAGCAGAGCCGCCACCAACAGTTCAGTCAGTGCCCGACGGGTCCAACCAGAAAGAGTTGCGATACAACAAATAACTGAGGAAGGAGACTCCCACAAGCTCAAGTAGTCAACATTTTCGGTTTGATGTGCTCGCACAGCTGACTAATATTCCCGCCAGAATCACTTTGTATGAGCTCTTGCGACGATCCAAGTCCACCCGGGAAGCTCTACGAGAAGCGCTAGCTGACACTGAAGCTTTCACAGCTCATGTTCTGCCTGCTCCCGAAGAGGATAAAGGAAAAGGGTGTCCTCAGTGCTGTCTAACGTCCAAACAGCAGATCCCATGCGTAACCTTTACTCCTGATGACATGCTTATCAAGAGTACGACACACGACTGTCCACTATACTTCACCGGGTACATTAGCTCCGCTAGAGTGGACAGAATCCAAGTAGATCCATCATCCAAGGTTTGCACTGAGCATTATTCCCTTAAAGCTCAT